AATACAATATTATTTTTATTTAATGATAATTTATTTTAAACTATTAAAATTTAATTTACAAATAATAATTAAATTAGATAAATTAAAAAAAAAATGTTAAAGCTCTCTCAATTTTATTTTTTAAAGCTATCTATTTGTATTTAATATATAAAAAATTATAGCTGAACAACTTAAAATTTAAAAAATGTCATTGATTTTTTTATATGTATAATAATAATAAAAAGGGTTGTTCTGGTATTTATATTTTTGGATAGTTTTACTTTTATAATGATTATTTTGAAAATTATAATTTTTTATATTCTTTCTTGTAAATTTCACTCCATAAATGTATGTATTTTTAATATTTAATAATCATTACTATTATATATTTATTATTTTTTAAATATAATTCACATAGGCCCGTAAATACAATATTCGCCTTCCGAACAAAAAGTTGAAAGCACAAAGGTGGCCGCAGAATGCGAAGAAAGTTAGTTGCATGATCCGAAGATATCAGAATAAGAAAGAAGTTGGTTACCTTATATTTTGTCACCGTATAAAGAAGACTGATATTTGCGTGTGCACTCACCTTCATATTTTTCTTGTACTGAATTGAAGGCCTCACTCTTTGGATTCACTCATTCTTCCACTTCATGGCTTCGCAAACTCACCACCCACACTTCCTTCTTCTTCCCTTAATGTCCCAAAGCCATCTCATTCCCTTCACACAGATGGCCAAATTACTCGCCACCAATGGAGTTTCTGTCACCATTGTTCTCACACCCCTTAACGCAACCAGGTTCAACATGGTCATTGACCAAGCAAAAGCTTTAAACCTCAAAATCCAGTTCCACTTGCTACCCTTTCCTTCCGCAGAAGCAGGTTTACCAGAAGGGTGTGAAAACATGGACACACTTCCTTCCCTTCAGTACAACCACTTGTTCTTCGCTGCTTCCAATATGCTGAAAGAACCACTTGAAAAATGGCTCTCAGAGTTGGAAACACTACCCACATGCATCGTTTCCGACATATGTTTACCTTGGACAACAAACGTTGCATCCAAGTTCAACATACCGAGGGTTGTCTTCCACGGAATCTCGTGCTTCTCCCTCTTGTGCTCACACAACATTAGCCATTCCGAGGTGCATGAAAACGTCGGCACCTCAATGTCTAAGCCATTCGTGGTGCCTGACTTGCCTCACACAATTGAACTCACCAAGGCACAGTTGCCTGAGGCAATGAATCAGAACACAAAGGCTTGGAAACACGCCATTGATCAATTCAAAGCCGCTGAACTTTCCGCTGAAGGGATATTGGTGAACACTTTCGAGGAGTTGGAGAGCATGTACGTGAGAGGGTACGAGAAAGTGGTAAGAAAAATTTGGTGCATAGGACCACTTTCTTTGCATGACAAGTTAATCTTAGACAGGTTTGGGAGAGAAGATAATCATAATAAGACCTCAACGGATGAAACTGAATTATGTTTAAATTTTCTTTCTTCCAAAAAGCCTTGTTCTGTGGTTTATGCCTGTTTTGGAAGCTTGTCTCGGATTAGGGCTTCACAGCTGAAGGAGCTTGCTTTGGGGTTGGAAGCATCAAGCCATCCATTTATTTGGGTGATTGGGAAAAATGATTGTTGCGAAGAGATAGAGAAATGGTTAGAAGAAGAGAGTTTTGAAGAGAGGAATAGAGGAAGGGGTATCATAGTTAGAGGATGGGCACCACAGGTTGAGATATTATCACATCCTTCAACTGGTGGGTTCTTATCACATTGTGGTTGGAACTCCGCACTGGAAGCGGTTTCTGCAGGGGTCCCTATGATTGCTTGGCCAATGATTGCGGAGCAGTTCTTGAATGAGAAGCTCATTGTGGAAGTGCTGAAGATTGGTGTGGGGATTGGAGTTGAAGCTGGGGAAGTGTTGGTGAAGAATGAGGATGTGAAGAAGGCTATTGAGCAGGTCATGGAGCAAGGTGGGGATGGGGAACACAGAAGGAACAGAGCTAGAGAGATGAAAGAAAAGGCTCATAAGGCTGTTCAAGATGGTGGATCATCAGCTTCAAATTGCAAATTATTTCTCCAAGATATTTTGGGGATGTTACATAATTCATAGCAATGTAGTCATAGCTCCAGCGGTTAAGTTTATCATCTTTATTTTTTATCAGAAAATAAATCTGTTTGGTTTATTTGTTGAATAAATTAGTCATAGACCCATTAGGTTTATTTAATACTGCTTTCCTCCTGAGTATAAGAAGTTTTAATAAAAATTGGCTTTTCATGAGAATTCTTTATAGTGTTTTTGATGGGAGATTTTTACGGAGTAATTTAAATTTTTTTTTT